TCATCTTAACTTAAAAACTTACTCCACCTGAGCTCACCACACATTAATTCACCACACTTTAACTCCCCACACCTAAATTCACCACACCTCAACTCGCCACACCTTAACCCCCGCACCTAAATCCACCACACCTAAATCCACCACCCTTAATTCACCACACCTCAACTTTCTCACCACACCAAAATTCACCACACCTCAACTTTCTCACCATAACTTAACTCACCACACCTAAATTCACCACACCGTAACTCCTACACCCAATTCCACCACACCGCAGCTCACCACACCCAATTTCACCACATGACATGATATCACTTGATGTGGCATCAAAGGCAACATCATTTGGCATAAAATGAACCAAAATAAATAAGATTTAGATAGAGGTGAAAAAAGGGATAAAAAGGAAATACAACTGAAGAGTGTGCAATGTTATATTGTGGTGTGTTATGCTTCATATGTTACGTTATTTATTCTCATGTTATGGTTATGTTATGTTATGCCAAGTACTAAGCTAAACTCCCCTCCACTTAACCCATTCCAACTAATGTTATTTTAGCTCATTCAACTTACATAAACTATCCTTAATTTTATCGGTTGAATTTCAACCGCTGGGCGAACACTAGTTTATTTAAATATGCGAGTAATTATGAAGGTGTGTCCATCTAGCATATCTAAGGAGAAACATTTAGTTTTGTGATTGAACGTTATAAATATGTACAACAGGCTAAAATATATGTTTAGCTCTTAGCAAAATGAGAGCATATCATCATTTACACTGTTTATTAAGTGTTTCACTTGCATTGGCGCATCTGTTTTATGTTCAAGGTCCGAGCTTATACCTGGACTTGTGGTCATCGGAGAAGCTTTATTTTACAGAATGATAACACTGTAGGACATTTTCATTATTTTTCTGTAGAATTGATGAAACCAAGTTTTTCTGAAAGTCTGGATTGTGTGTATATAAGAAAATAATTTCTCAGTTTTCTAGGTTGGCGATTTTAAGCGTTTTTTTTTTT